AACGATTCGTATCTTAACGACGACCTGAGCATTGCCAATTGTATGAATTCTTATTTCTCATCGGTGTTTACTGTTGAGGATCACGAAAACTTTCCCGACCTTGAATATATTACAGATGAGAAATTATGTAACATCTTTTGTTCTGCCACGGAAGTTGAGAAATTGCTAAGAAATTTGAATATTTACAAGTCCCCCGGGCCCGACTACATATCACCTCGCATCCTAAGAGAATGTGCTCAAGTGTTGTCATCTCCACTGGCTTTATTTTTGAATACATCCTTCTCTCAAGGTCAACTACCAAGTATATGGAAGTCGGCCCACATCACTCCAGTCCATAAGAAAGGGAGCAAAAATCTCATGGAGAACTACCGCCAAATATCACTGACTTGTATTGTTTGCAAGATTGCAGAAGCTGTGGTAAAGTCCCGTGTGGTCGACTTTTGGTCAGACCTCAATCTTTTTAATCCAGACCAATTTGCGTATCTAAGGGGTAAATCGACGTTGGCACAATTACTTACATGTTACAATGACTGGGCAAAGGCTAGGAATTGCTCGCAACAAACGGATATCATCTTCTTAGATCTCTCCAAGGCTTTCGACAGCGTGCCACACGAGCGCTTGCTGCTGAAACTACAACGGTATGGGATAGACGGCTCTCTACTACTGTGGATTAGAAATTTTTTGACGAATAGAAGGCAGCGTGTAGTGTTAAGGGGCAATTGTTCAGACTGGTCACCCGTGATTTCAGGTGTGCCTCAAGGAACAGTACTCGGCCCAATCCTATTCATTATTTATATAAATGATATTTCGGCAAACATTGCATCAACCGTGAAAATCTACGCTGATGATACTAAAATCTATCGCAAGATCATGGAGCCTGATAAGGATATACCAGCCTTACAGCTGGACTTGAACAAATTAAGCGATTGGGCTAACAAGTGGCAGTTGCGCTTTAATCCTGAAAAATGTGAAGTTATGCGTGTAACGCACAGTAGAGACAGATCCAAGCCTAGTTATTCCCTTGGTACGCAACTAAAATCTGTCGACAGCGCCAAGGACCTAGGGGTCACAATAAACTACGATCTATCTTGGGGTAAACACGTTTCCTACATAGTAAACAAGGCGAACAAAGTGTTGGGTATAATTAGGCGATCACTTGGAAACGATAATCGCTATGCGTTTTCCTGCCTCTTTAAGTCGTTAGTAAGACCTATACTCGAATACGCTGTCCCCGTCTGGAGCCCCTACCAAAAAAAGGATATCGAATCCTTGGAAAAAGTCCAAAGAAGGGCATCTCGGTTGGCATTAAAGCAAAAACGCGGAGAAATGAGCTATGAAGACCGCTGCCGCCTACTGAATTGGCAAACTTTGGAGAAACGAAGAGAGTTTTTATCTCTGATCCAGTGCTACAAGATAGTTCTGGAAATAGATAGTCTTCATTTTTCGGACTTTTTTGAACTTACTAAATGTAATCGAACTAGAGCCAATCACGATTATAAGCTCTACGTAAAAATAGCTATCGTAAATTGCTACAAATTTTCTTTTTTTGTACGGATCGTTAATATGTGGAATAATTTGCCTAAAGATATTGTACACGCAGGATCATTGACTTTATTTCGTAACAGACTAAAGATTTACATGAATATTGATTGAGATGATGGTAAACAGTTTTTAATTATCTGTATATAATGTTTTGATCTTTTTATTCGGGGAATCTTTTATATAGGGTTAACCTCTAGAATATCCCCTTTCGAGAGATACTTTTACAATTTTTATTTTCCTTTCTCTTGAATAAAGTATTGTATTGTATTGTATTGTATTGCAAAAGTGAAAAAAAAAATGGCAGGAAAACTAAGTCACACTTGCCGTTCACGTTTCACGTTAACGCGGTGCTAAATCTCTCTAATGTACAGGCAGAATGGTACCGTTGAACCAGCTATTGAACCTATTACCAACACAGCAAAGCAAAGAAACAACATATCTCCTCCACTTGCAAACGTGCTTGGTCATACTCCTACTAATTTTTATCGAGGAACACCAACAGAGAATGAAAACATTCTAAAGCTAGAAAATGTCCTTGCCTCCGAGCGAGATAATGTCTTGCAGAGGTAAACCAAGAGCAAGACTTTGTTTCGATGAAAGAAGCCTAATTAAGGGGAAAACGAAATAATGTTTATTTCGGTGAAAACATGAAATAAACTCCCATCGATGAATATGCATGGAGAACAGTAAGAAAAATTTGTTTGATAACACCTTTTGCAGTATAGAAAATCATGTTATTCAGAAGATAAAAATACTCACATAAAAGTACTACTTCAATCAAGGCCATTTCATGAATTGTTAACACTCATTGCCATAGTCAGAGCGGTTACAGTTTCAGGTAATAAAAGCAATGCTGGAAATGTCGACCTATGCAGAAGGAAGTGTACAGTAACTGAACATAAACTTCATGATCATGATCTTCTAAAGTAAAACTTCCTGTTCATATCGTATATGAGTTCATTAACATACTTAATTAAAGACAAAGGAGATTTTTTTTGAAGAGGAAATTCCATTAAAATCATCAAGCTTAAATTATTTGAAGCACAGCCTTGTCATCCTCATCAGAGACAAGTTGAATTTTCTTATCTGCTCTCTGGAGACTCTCTAATGTAGTAGCAGTCTTGATGTCCTCCTCCTGAAATCCATCTTGCTCAGTTGCATACAATAGTGCTACTTGAACATCAGATCTTGGCTTTCCTTCCTCGAAGTTTTCGAGAAGCACTGAGATCTTCTCTGTTTTTCTCCATTACAAAGGTACAAAAGCTGTCCTGAACTATGTCACTGAGGGAAAGGTGCTAGGTGGGGGCTCCCTGTGAAATATTCGTAATGAGATATTTAGGATCTGAAAAAATAAAACAAAATAAGAGATCTAGACAATCAAAACAAAAGCAAAATTTCCAGCGCTTTGGTCGGTTTATAGCATTTGAGAATTAGCGACTTGGTCACAAAATAAAATAAAATTTATCATTCTCTCTGACAGACTTCACTCATATTTATGTCATAAAAGCAGTAAACCACACTTTCTATCTGTTTACTGGCTGATAAAACACTTGGGATGATGGGAGAACGCTAGAAGTTTGTAAACCACTAGGCTGTGCCTCGTAGTTTACTTTCCTCGTGTTCTCTTAACATCCCGCGTGGTTTATCAGCGGGTAAACCGATAGAAAGTGTGGTTTATTATTTAAACAACATTTTGGTTAGCTTCGAGACAGAAGTATATATAACATGGTTGCTACAGCCGTAGGTTTACGGATTTCCATTCACTAACGTAGCGTCAGTAATTGCCACAATATTTCCAAAACTTGGATTTGTCTTTTCACTAATACCTTGTTGATTCTAAGCTCCAGAAGTTAAGTATCCGTGCTATTTTTCCTCAACTTCTAGTCGCATGAATTTGTGTTTTAATCTGTATGAGTAAATGATGAGAAACCCGGCCGGAAAAAATAACTTTTTTTCGTCTCGATTTCTAAATGTCATGGCTGTTTCAGTTTCTTTTAAAACAGATATGGACTTTAAGAATAAAAAGGTCAAAATAGATACTTAAGCTGAGTAACATCTGGTTCCAAAGTGTACTCTGAAGAAGATTGCGGACAGCCGAATAAGGAGATTGAAAGCGGATGGCCTTCTTTGTCTTTATGGTCACCAAGGAGCTATTACAAACAGAAATAGTCTTTCGGAAAATACAGGCCGGAATGAATTACTCCATTTCCTCTGATCGTCTCTTACAAAAAGAGAAAATCGCTTTAAGACATCGTTGTAAGAGCAAAAATTTAATTTGAAGGCTATTGTAGCTACTAGAATTTGCATTTATTTTTATTGTCAAGCAACCGGGAAACAGCTCTATATTTTTTTCCTTCTACTGTACTACTAGTTTTGTTTCTGTTCAATTCAGTTCGCGTTTTTGCGTGAGGTTATGTAACAATTGCGTTAGGTATCGGTCGACGGCAGTAACTAATACACAAGAGCTGTCACGATCGAAACCTTACCCATCTATCCCACAAATTTCAAGGTTCATTCGAAACCAGGACCAGGTTGTTCGAAAGGGGTGAACGTTATTCTAGGATTAAAAGTTAACCTTGGCTTTAATTTCTCTTGTAGAAGAACATGTTCAAGAGCTAAGGCTGTGTTGGGGTTTATCTCAACATGCCTTGAAACTAATTGGAAAAAAATTAAAAAAGAAAAATCCCTTTGCAAAGATATTTGAATTAAATATTTACAATAATCCCGGGTTAGGCTAATCGTGTTTTGAACAATCCAGCCCAGACTCTTAGCCAATTTTTTGTCCTTTGTAGAGTCGTTTTGTATATACTATTCTCTCTCAAAGTCTGACTTTTTTTTCGCTTTCGCGCCTTACTTTTCAATCAATTCAATTTCAATTTCTGCGCTCAATTTTAACTTTCTCTACTAAATTTCAAGTTTCTGCACTGCTTGGGATTAATCGACGTGCTCTCGGCCAATGAGCATGCTGAAAAATTTGGCATGTGTATTAGTAGGTCTGAAATCAAATGCGTGACTTCAAAATGGGACGAGCGCGCAGCACTTTACAAAAGAAACGAAACTTGGCGGGACAATTTCTTGTTTATCACATCAGCAATGTTTTTTCTTCCTATTAGTGAACATATGAGATGTTCCTTCCAGCAATACTGTGTTTTCAGTTGCTTCTTGTTATTTGTTAGCTCAACCGAAAAGTTTTCTGTAGTGATTACTTTCGTTTTCCATCGCCATTAGAATTAATAGTGCAGTATTGTGTCACTGGCAGCAGTTTGGAAATTTCAGATGGTAAAAAGTATTTGCTCATGAATATAAACTATTTCGACTTGTCTTTACAGGTTTACGGTGTGGTTGACAAAGATACCCGAGGTACGGTTGACAAAGATACCTCAGGCCTTAGGAAGTCTTGTTCCCCGCATCAACCGCCTCACTAGGTACCCCTCCGTAGAGGCTGGGTTCTTTGCATGTTTGTGCAACTTCGCTGAGGTGTCTGCTAGCGAAGCTCTAGCCCTGTTAAGACTTTTTTGTTATCCAGTTCATTTAGAAGGCAGAGTTAAAAGAGAAGCATGCGCTTCTCCTGGTATCTACCATTATGGTAGTGGAGATTCTCTGGAAACACTTCATCATGGTGATGAGTTACGTGCGGACGCTTGGAGTGGATGCACAATGAACCAGATTTTGAAACTCAGGTAAGACTACCCTCCTCGTACGCCAAAGTAACGCAGCTTTTGCCAAAACAAATCCGCTGTTTTTAAGATTTGAAATGGTTTAGTTTTTTTTTTAGTTTTTTTTTTTTTTTTTAAGAGAAACCGACCTCTTGCACATGTGCACTTAGCGAAAGGCTTCATTTAAGTGCTCCCACACTTGTTCTTTCAAGAACTACATCATTGCTGACGTACTACATCATTGCTGACATACTACATCATTGCTGACATACTTCTCCCTGATCTTCAGTGGATTGATAACATTTTTTTCATGCTGCAAAATATGTTTCGATAGTTTACATGAGCACCCTTTCAAAGTTTTTATCGTAAGGTAGTAAGTTAAGGCCAAAAATATAACCTTGCTGAGGCTTTGTTTTAGCCTTCAATTATCTAAACGCTATGTCTGAGTCTTAGAAAAGTTGCTCTACGTAATTTTCCGCAATATCACCTCCGTTCTCACTTTGGCATTCATCAGCTTGTGTACTTCCACGTCCATCTTCAACTGTTAAAGTGTACCTAAACCCAAAATTTTTTTTTCGCCTAACGAAATAAGCTTAGTTTTTGAAGTATTTCTGTGCAAAATTTTTTTAATTTGCTCAAATCTTTAATTTTCTGTGCCCAGTCAAAATACGGAAAATCGGCCGCCATCTTGCACCACGATCGAGTTTAAAGATGAATGGCACTAGCGGGTAATGTGACGTCAAATCGAGAACACGAAAGTCTGCATTCCACACATTTTCACTTGCTTGGGAAGGTTGTCGTCGATATTGTCCGAAATATGCCGACTACGTGTGTTGTATGAGGAATGTATGAAGCGCGATACCCTCTTGCAAATTTCGCACCTTGCTACATCCTTCTACAACACACTTAATCGGCATATTTTCGGGCAATATCGACTACAGCCTTCCCAAACAAGTGAAAATGTGTGAAATGCAGACTTCCGTGTTCTCGATTTGACGTCACAATACCCGCTAGAGCCATTCCTCTTTAAACTCGGTCGTGGGGCAAGATGGCGGCCGATTTTCCGTATTTTGACTGAGCACAGAAAATTGAAGATTTGAGCAAACAAAAAATTTTGCACAGAAATACTCCAAAAAATACGCTTATTTCGCTAAGCGAAAAAAAATATTTTGGGTTTTGGTGCACTTTAAATATTCATATCGCCTACAAAATTTACAGTCGCACAGAGCGATTCTTCGAGGGCTTCCGCATTAAGTGATTCATCTCCCTTCTCACAAGTCAGTAGAAAAACAAACCATCCCGAAAAATCTTAGAGGTTCAAGCTGTGCATAAACTGCGGAAGAAAGCGGAATCACGTAAACTTGACGTATCTCCGAAAGTGTATAAGCATCTTTCGAGACAGTGACTTCGTTGAGTTTTTAAGTGAGGACTTTATCCGTTACTTTGCTGTTTGCGCTGTTGTTATTTTGATTTGTATTATGAAATGAGTTCTACAATTAAATACTATTGAATTACACAACACTTACCCGGACGATCAGACTACAATTTCAAATGTTACCCCCGGGTTCAAACCATATCTACTGTATGACGAAAAACTATTAAGCATTTCGTTATACAGTGTATAGCAGTAGACTCTGTTACTCTCAATTGTTTTTGACCCAATCAATTCGATTTTTGTGCACTTTGCGTCAGCATCGGCAAGTTTCTCTACTAGGTCGTCCTCTTTCAACATTGAGAACCAAAAACCGAAGAAGAAAAAGCGGAGGAAATCTTCAGGAAAAGAGGTTCTTTTCCTGAAGATTTCCCTCGTTATTATTCCACCTTGACTAGTTGCACTTCAAGTAGTCAATTTTTCCAAATATACTCACAGGCAGCCCGAGCGTACTGTGCGTGATTTTGGGGTCTAAAGATCATTAACAGGAATGCCGAATATATTTTAAGATTGAGTTTTAAGCGTAGGCGTGTGCCGTAAAAAGAAAAAACTATTTTTTAAAAATAGAAATTTTTGAAAGGATAATAAAAGCGGGTAATATAACGTGTTAAGAACGAGTTTTTTCAAAACCACGTGCGAGGTTGACCAAAAACTGAGTACCCTTTAGTCTTCGAGCCTTTTCTCCAGAAGTGCCCAGAAAATTGTAATCGTAACACACCCACTACATAAAAGGAGGCTTCGTCAATCTTCAATGAAACCTCCTACGGTACCTTTCGCATAATGCAGGTTGTGACCAAGTCCACATTCACCTTTTCTGATGATTTTACATAGGAAAAGATAACTTGTGATTTGCGGCTAAGGAGTTCAGTGTTCACTCGTCCGTGATCACTCCAGGGTTACTTCGTTTTGTAGTATTTTAGCTTTTAGGTTTCGAACGAATTCAACATAAAAGAAACCGTTTAAGCGTTAATTAAGACCAAAGCACCTAGAGCTTCCTTGCTCGAAAAACGAGGCTTAAAAAAAGGGAAAAATGAAACCGATGAATTTGAATATATGAAAATCATGTATGTGTACTGCAGTTTCAAGAAATGTATGAAAGCGATCCTCGTAGTAATGAACCTCACCAATGTCTGTACTACATAAGTAGGAGTCATTACTTCGAAGATCGCTTTCACACATTTTGGAAAAATAAAAGTTAGAATCGTTCAGTACGATCATTATGTTGCTCCGCTTTCCATCTTGCAGTATGACATGTTTTGCACGTTCCAGTGTCCTAACATGGTAAATCGCGCAAGTTGTGGACTACTTAATGTTGGTTTTCAATCCGGTTTCTCATTGATTGAAATAGTTTCCAAAACCAATTTGTAGTATACATTTTTGGTTAACGAGAAGAGGAGTAGAGTGTAACATTCGAATCAAACTATCATATGCAGTGTGTTTTGGAGTTCTGTTCTCCTTCTGAACACCAAAATGTCAGCGATAATTTTCTCTCTTTATAAAGTCAAGGAGTTCTCAATCTTTGGGTGTTGTTACTTGATGAAAGAAAAGATAGTCGGCTCTCTATTGATTTCCTTTCTAAGCTAGGTTTCGTTCTGATGACAAGTTTGAAACTAGCACAATGGTAGAACTTCCGCGTGAATGTACACCCCATATAGAATTAAAATTCTTCTTACATCTCCAAGAAGAACAACCTCAACGAGAGCTGTGTGGATTTCCAATTGCAACGCCTCATCAAGTAAGACTTTTTTTAAATCTCTTTTGTTTTAAATGTTTCTATCATGATAGCCTTTGAAGCTGGAGGTTTTAATCATGAGGGCTGGCCATGTGCGTTCAAAGGATGAGCGGCAAAGCCGCTTGAAGCTTGAGACGGGACATGCGTTAGTCCATTGCTCCTTATTAGCCTCATAGCATGGGATTAGACTTTTGATAAACTTAGTCAATTGTTTGAATTCGTTATGGTTAAATGCATTTACATTTCCACTTTCTAGAGCCGAACCGAAGATATTCATCCTGGTAAGTCAAGCCAAGTTTTAAAAATTTGTACGTTACTACGTTTCCGTAGGTAACAAAGTACTCATTTCAACGCTATCAATTTTCTCTTTGTTTTTCTATGTCCCCTTTCATTCTGTTGTGGAAAAGTTATGAACATGAAGAGGGAGATATAGCTTCCGAAAATTCTAGTTTTCAATGAAACGTGGCTCTAGAATTTGCAAAAATGCATAAAAATTCCCCCTTTGGATTATTTAAATACTTACACGCAAAGCGAAAAATACGATACCTTTCTTGTTGGTTGCTCTAACCTTTGTGAAATCTGAAATAAGTAGCTCTTTGCAGGTTTCAGGATCGAAGGCGTGAGAGATCTACAAATGTCATCGGTTATTCGATCGGCCAAGATTGATTTTAAGCTAAAGTGGGAGAGGAAGTGGGGAAAAGGCGAGCATTGCCCCACCCCCTCCCCTCCCCTTCCTTTTGGCTGTCGCTTTTTCCCTCGGTAGGAATTTCTTTCTCACCCCAACCTTCCGCTGCCTTAAAAATCAAAGATTTTCGCTACAATTTTTACTGGGATAAATACTGTATGCATTTAGATGTCAATAAGTATATCTCTACCTCGGGTTCGCTTTTCCTCCAACCTACTCTCCTCCCCCACCCTTCCTTCCCCCGACCATGACAACTATAAGATGGGAAAGGATGGATGACAAAAATCGTGTCTAACAAATCACAAAGAAACACTTTTAGGGTTTTATGCACTTGTTGGCTGATTTATTCAATAGCTTTTCAGTCTTAAAAAGGGAATTCATTCTTATCAAAGGTAAAACTTTTGCCACCTTGTTGGTGCTAGTCATTTGACACTCTAAATGTAGATGATCGCATGAGTACACAGAGAGCGTGATGAAACGTTTTGTGCAAAGTCTAATCGAGTCTCGGGAAGCAAATGAGAGAATTGTCGCTGTAATGGGGGGCGGGGAACATTAATTCAGACTGATCGTCGCAGAAAAAATATATCCTTATGGTGTTTTCAGATGCATCAAATCGAATGGGACGGTTGTTGACTACGGATCATACGAGAGCAAACGTGACCAGAGGTAAATAATCTTTGTAAAGTGTCAAAAGTCTGAATTTGCATGCAGATACTTTTGATTAGTCCCTGAAATAAATTAAAGGACTGATAAATCCTAAATGTTAACCATGGGAAAAGTGAAGAATTACACAGTCACTTTTAATAAGTAACAATGAGAGGAATTACATCTATTTTAAAGCGTAGGTCTGAAAAATGAGAACACATGCAGACTCTTGTGTTTTCTTGCTTAAGTCATTTTGGCGGAAGTTTTGCTTCCTAAGCCTGGTCCTTATCTCACAAAAACCATAGCCCTCTCAAGTGCCGCATATATTTCTTAAAAAAAAAAAAACTCATAAAGATAGTTTCCCCTCTCTTGTACCAGTTATACTTTTAGCTCTAAAATCATTGCTGCCCGGTTTATATTAACCAGCACCATTTCCCGATAGAGACTCACATTTCTGACAATCAGCCTATGGGAGGGGTATGTTTAGGCTCTACAAAAGGTTTGAAGATTTGAAGATACACGATCCCTCATTAACAGCAAAGCTATGACAGCGTCACGACAATTAAGAGCCACTGACCGTAAATATCGAGAATCCACCGAAAATTCGTCTTTTTTTTTAAGGACCCTTTTCATGAACCTTTTTCGAAAATTATATCAAAAAGTTCCATCGCGCTTTTTTTTCTCCGAAAAATCGTCAAGTTTAAAATACGCCCGAATGGAAGTTGTCCACCCCCCATGAACAAATGAAAAATTATGCAACTTCGGCAACTTCGTACGCTACAACGCCGAGCGTCTGTTCTGCTCACTTTTCAGATCTAAGCTCGAGTATAGAGAAGCACTTGGTCTGTTCCTCACCTCCGTTCAGCATAGGTAATAATCGGGGTTTATTAAGCCCTTTAAGCTCCCTTCAGAGAGTATATGCGTTCACTTTGGAAAGAATGATCTTTTGTTCTCGAAATCGTCTTGTTCACGACGTGTAAAATAGTACGAAAGTTGTGATTGTCCTAATCGTGCCGTCATAGCTCTGCTACAAATAAGGGATTATATCTTCAAGTATCTTCAAGCAATGGTTTTATCTCTCAGAAATTATTAATTTCTTGCTATGTTGTTACGCTTAAGCCAGAACAGTGACCCGTTGAAATAGAGTACTTCGCGTTTCTTTCACGGAGGTAAAATAGAGGTCAACTTCAGTGGCCTATGAAGAGGTTTGCCATATATACCTAAAAATCATAATATACATCGACTTAAAGATTTATTCCTTTATTTCAATTCCTCCAATTCTCTATCCTGGCCCGCCATAAGCGGCACGTCCAGGTTTAAAAGAGTTTGGGCTATTTTGTCAAGATTGCAATGCGAACCCCTGAACAGCTGTCACGACCCATTTAAAGCCCTTTAAAAAGATCTTGTATGATATTTTTACAAACCAAAATATATGTCATCTTAAAGCTTTATCCTTTTAGTTTAATTCCTCAAAGTTTCTTTCTTGGCTCGCCATAAACGGCGCGTCCAGCTTTCAAAGAGTTCGGGCTAAAAAATAACAAAAAATGTACATGACCTCTTGCGTGACAGCCGTTCAACGGATCGCATTACATTTTTGTCGTTTTAGCCCGAACTCTTTTCAAGCTGGACGCGCCGCCTATGGCGGGCCGAGAAAGAAACTTTGAGGATTTAAACTAAAGGGATAAAGCTTAAAGAAGATATATATTTTGATTTGTAAATATATCATACAAGACCTTTTTCGAGGCCTTTAAATGGGTCGTGACAGCTGTTCAGGGGTTCGCATTGCAATTTTGACAAAATAGCCCAAACTCTTTTAAACCTGGACGTGCCGCTGGAGGAATTGAAATACAAGGATAAAGCTTTAAGATGATGTACATTATGATTTGTAAGAAGACCTGTTCGTTCGCTACTGAAATTTACCTTTATTTCAACGGGTCGCTATTCAAACTTAAACGTAACAACAGAACAAGAAATTTATATTTTCTGAGAGATGAATGACTATCCGGCTAGCACACAAAATTTAAAAGCGGGGTTACATCGCGTTGTAGCGTGCGAAGTTGCCGAAGTTGCATAATTTTTCAAAAGGGACCTTACGCAGTCAAGACGGCAACGCCACGGAAGACGTCGATTAAAAAATTAATTTCTACTTTTAGTTAGAATTTCGAAAATAGGGACCTTACGCAGTAGGACGGCAACGCCACGGAAGACGCCGATTAAAAAATTAATTTCTACTTTTAGTTAGAATTTCGATAATGACTGCATGTGTTTACCATCTCATAGGGCACCAGACCTTAACCTCAACATAACGCATAAAAGTAGCGTTGAGGGCTAAATGGAAATTAAAATAATTTGCCGTCGCGGTTTCGGTTCGCA